AGATCTAGAGTAAGTAACAATGTTTATCAAACTGTAAAAAACAAGCAAGCAATCAAACTGACTTTCAGAGATCTAGAGTAAGTAACAAATGGCAATAAATAACATGAAGAAAAACAGAGTACAAAGATAACTGGGGTTTTGTGCACACAAGAGTAATGAAAGTTGAGTTGTTTAATTGATTAACTCTTTGTGCCCAAACCGAACTGAAAGAAAAACAGAAATTGTGAAAAACTTACATATTAATTAAGGGTAGTAAATATGTGAGGGTAGCTAACATGTCGTACTAAAACTTAGACTTAAAAAAAATTAGTGGTAGTGATGTCTACAAAACATCTCAGCCACAAGGCCAGAGAAAAGTAAAACTTTGAAGAATTTTTATACAGTAATATGAAATAAATTCATGTATATTTGATGCACATACTGAATTCAACATGCATATAATATAATGACTATAGAATATCACAATCATATTCTTGATCTTTTCACACATTGTCCTTCACCATTTGGTGTTACTAGAGAATTCCTTGGTCTTGTACTAATGTGTTCTCTAGTAACATCAGTCACATATAGGTTTAAGAATACCTGGAGGATGTGTTCTCCATATTTTTAGTAGGTAAATAAAGTGTCTGTTCTCTTACATTTTACATTGTTTTTAGTCTTTTTGTTTCTTTACTTCAATTCTGTCAGGTCTGAAATTCATAAACTCTGCAATACTTATTTTGTCTAACTATTTGACTTAGAGTGGTTACTACTATTACCTAAATGCTGTTAGTGCACTTGAAAATACTCCACACTTTTTGCTACAAACTGTAAATAACCTGAAACTTCTGAAATATATTTAAATTGTTAGAAGTTCAAATGAGACTTTCATGTTTTAACATACAGTTATAATCTGTTATTTCTAATAAAATTACTGTAAATTTTACAAAATCATTCATGACCAATAAGTGTTGATCTGATTTGATAGTTAGATTTTTCATTTGTAGTAAAACAAATGTTTAATTTTATATTTTCAAAAAAGTGGTGACAGGAAACAGTTTGTACATAAATAAGATTGAGATAAATTTGTAAACAAATTTAAGAATCCATTTTTACATTTATTACTTATGGTGGAGATCTAAAAATAGGCTTTGTACATCCATAAAACTGACATTAAGGACTATCAATACTGGTTACATGTCATAAACTGTACTTAAGTTGTATTGTGCTGTTTATAAAGTACAGCTACATTTAATCACTATTTAAAACAACAAATTGTAATCTTGTTTTGAATTAAATTTCAGATATCTCTTCTTCAGCTTTACCATGGATGTTATTGACTATGAATATTGTCATTTTATATTATGAAATTCTATTGTTTAATTTTCAATGATACTTCATTGAACTGTTAAGGTATCTTTTAAATCAGTGGTTCCCAACCTGTGGTCCATGTAGTTTTTTTAATACTGATGTTTTTTTTTAATTGCACACTCAGTTATATATGTCTTTTATTTGATAGTGAAAAGTGGGAGAACAAGTTAATTATAAGTTAATAAAAACAGTTTGTTGGGTAGGCGGAATCTTTCAAAACATGGGGACCGTGGGAGAAAAAATGATAATAAAGGGGTCCTTGGTGGAGAAAAGGTTGGGAACCACTGTTCTAAATGAACTAAACAAATGCCTATCCTATGAAGGCACAAGGAAAATACAATCACCCTATTTTAATAAAGTTATTCCTTGATATTAGATTCCTTTCAATATACAGTTGATCACAAAACATAATTACTTTTTTATTTCAAATGAAATTTCACAAAGTGTACATAGAAATATGTTAAAAATATGAGTTGTAAGGAAAAATGAGTCCCAATTTCCATCAAATTATTTCATTAACTTCATTTTTCCAACAGCTCATATGGCCATTATGTGTAACAATTTTTTTTTACTGTTCTCATTAGAACTTTATCAAACTCGGCTAGAATATTACTTCAGATGATTCGCATGTATAAGAAACACTAGATTAAAACCCTTTATTTTAAAGTCAGATTCCAGCTTATCCCAAATGGCAGGGTTAACTCACAATTTCCCTATGTGAATTTATTGAAATATTAATTTAATAATGGCCTTGTGTTATATTTGCATTCTTCCAAATTTAAGAGGTTCACCTCCATTTTTATAAAACTAATTTTTAATCTTTGATGGATTGTTCCTTTTTTAATAGCAAATATACTATACATACTTCAAAAGAAGGGAGAGGAAAATGTCTATTTGCCTTGTATTAAATCACCACGCTGATCAGAATTATTTCACCTAACTATATTGAAATGTTCTAATGTATTTATCTTAAAAGAGGTCAGTTGATATTAGAACTGAAGATAGATCCTGGTCAGCACTTTTATCAAATTATTTAAGTTTTAACTGAGTTTTAGTACAGTTACTAATGGGCATGTTACAAGTAATTCCCAGAATACAATCACACCTTCTCTTTTATTTTGATACAATTACTGAGTTGTCACTGGATTTTATATTAATTCTTTGATATTGGGAAAGTGTATAGCTAATAAGACTTCAAACCATACAATTATTTAGATATTAGTCTTTATATTCACTCAATTGTTTAACTTACAGTAAGTTAAATTGGACTGTTTCTTCAATAGGAGGCATGTTAATCTTTAATCATATTATGTGGTGAGGTAAAAAAAAAGCTGTGGCAAATATATAAAGTTAGGTAAGGACCTGAAGAATGATTTTTAAAGATATGTACCTTACTTTAACTGATAAAACTGTTCAAAGGAAATAAGAAAGGGTTTTTAAGTGATCAGGTTGAATTTAGTTTAAAAGGTATATAGTAATGAGAATCAAGCATTAAAAACTGACTTTATTATCAAGGAAAATCAGTAAAAAACATAAATATAACTCATATCTTAACATAATTTAAAATATACATTTTAGTCAGATGTAGTAAACCTACAATAAAAAAAAAATTAAACCATAAAGTAATAAACTTCTAAAATTTAAAAGACTATCCTGAGCAAAATTAAGGAATGAACATAAGCACACAAATAATGAAATATATATATATATATATACATATGTGTGTGTGTGTGTGTAATGTTCATGTTTAAAAAATTCCATAAAGATTAATATGTCATAAGATGGCAAGGGATGAAGTTTGGGTACCTAAAAACTTCAGCATTATTCACCTAAAGTCATACATATTTATTTTTCTCGTAGTCAGAAATTAGCATTAGGCCATACACAGATATATATACATATGTGTGTGTGTGTAATGTTCATGTTTAAAAAATTCCATAAAGATTAATATGTCAAAAGATGGCAAGGGATGAAGTTTGGGTACTTAAAAACTTCAGCATTATTCACCTAAAGTCATACATATTTATTTTTCTCGTAGTCAGAAATTAGCATTAGGCCTAATTTCTCTTTGTTAATGATCAGTATTTCATGCTAACACATAATAATGTGAGAAGGATAAATGCCTAATCAGGGCACCTTAAAATACATTCTTAATAACAGAAAGAAATCTTGATAAAAAGTGATCATACTGTTAATCAGAACATTAAATGACCTAATGTCAGACCTGACATTACAATCGACAGTAACAGTTGATGAGTTCTATCTAGATACGTTAGTAAAATATATTTTTGTCAGTTTCGAAAACACTTTATTTCATCAATTTCTTCAAAACTCACAACATTTTAGTTATTCCAATAAAAATATAAAATTAAAAAAATGTTAGATCTCATAATTGAGTAAATAAAATTTACAAATATATGTGGTTGGTTATCAAGTCTATGAGTTAAGATAAATTTCTGTCAAAATTTATATTGTTGTGCTTTTCTTTAAAGCAATATTGGTAAATTTTAATATTTTTTATTTCAGATTAATTCACTTTAAAACATGTCAAATGAAAATTATATTTTAGAACCCGCATAAGAAACTTTAAAAAAAATGACACTTTGACTCCCTTAACTACGCGATAACTCAATACTGTAAAGTTTTATAAAGCCTAAGTGTAGAATCTGTTATGTGATTTAAAAATAAATATGAAACCCAATCTATAATTAGATTAACCACGTAATTGCCATTGAGGTATATCGTTTTCGGAAAATTCAACCTCTCATCACTAACCCCGATGAGGGCTAATGGAAAAAACAAGATTTTTACCTATAGAAACCTTGCCCCATAAAACCCTAATCTTGTTTTTTCGGTTTGCCCTTGTCCAGAAATACTGAAGGGGGATGGAATTTATTGAAACCAGTATAACTAAGTGACAAGTAGTGAATCGGTTGATAGATCAAGTTTCATACTTATGTTTAGTATCTTAAACAGCTTGTATGCTGAATAATTTAGAAGAAAAAACTAGTAGTGTCAATGTTGTATATTATTCAAATCCTATATAAATATAGGTTTACCGTGATGAGTCAAAGACAGCTAAAACACCATACATATGTTACGTGTTGTGTTTGGGAAGACAATGAATTATATGTACAAAAACGTTCTTGTCTACTTCTGTCTCTTTAAAATTATCAAGATGAGTTTGCTCGTTTTTTAGCGCAAAACCACACAATGGATTATCTGCGCTCTATCCACCGCAGGGAATCAAGTCACAGGTCTTAGGGTTGTAAATTCGCAAATAAAAAAATTTATATATAAATATAAATATATATATAAAAAACTAAGAATATAAAGTAAAATATTAAAGTAATGTTTGGCTTTAACACTGCGAATAAGTGTATTAAAAATCTGCTTTATAATTGGGAGAAAAACAGTATCAAAACGTCTTTCTTACTGTTATTGTTCCAAGTTAAAATATAATTCATGTGCATGATATTTTATGATTCTTAACATTAACTTCAGTACTCTGAATATCATTTATATGGAAAATTTCTAGGATATCTCTTAGCAAATAAAAATAATTTTAGTATAAATGTAGTTATATTATAGAGGGCACTACCAACATACACATACACACATATAACAAGAACAATTGTGTATATATAACACGCCATATATTGTCCCGGTTTGGAATACGGTGTTATAAGACGTTGATATCTGCTTGGATAGATCGTCGTTGTAACTCATGGCAAAAAATCTAGTAGAAAACGGTGGACAGAACTTTGGTAAGTCAGAGTGGATAGAAATGGATGGAGCAAATGAATCAGGTGATGCTAAGCAAAATCCGTCAAGATTTCAGGTGGACAAAGTCGATTTTGTCAGTGAAAAAGATAATGAACATATTCTAGACGATGCTTTAAATTCGGACGACAACCAGGCAACTTTAGGTTCCCGAACTCAACACTCTGCCTATTCTACAACTTATGATACCCACAATGTTCGAAGTTTACGGCATTATACTAGAGAAGCTCTCCCTAATGTAGACCATTACAGAAACGTTATGTCTCTTCATGGACAAATGAATCGCCCAACATTAGATGAACTTCATAACTCTACGTTGACAATGGGCCATGAAAAGGTAAAGTGCATAAATGTTAATGCTATAAATATATTTATGCTGAAAATAATTTTGATTATTACTGTAGTCAAAAAACGCAAATAGGATTATTTTCTATGTGTGAAATCGAAATCATTCTTATATTCTTTACTTCTTTTAAGAAAGTATTCATGAATTTTGTAGTATTATATGATTGTTGTTATTAGCAGCAATATTGTTAACCGTTGCTGTGGATGAGCTGACATTATATTTTAAATGCATATTATAAATGCTAAAGTTTTACCTGTTTTTGGACATTTTATTTAAGAGACTATATTAAGAAAAAATATACACTTTTTTAGATAGTAGGATTAGTATTATGATTTTTTAAATACTGATAGTGATAGTTAGGCGTCGTACAAAGTAATACAAATAACTACAACTATACTGTAAATTAACAATTTTATTGATACAATTTTAAAAGTCGATTTAACAGTATTTTCCATCGTTTTTAATTCATTAATAAGGCAACAAGTACAGTATTATTATTATTGTAATTACGTGACGAATATATTGTGTACAAAAACATTAATCCTTCGGTGAGACCGTAATAAGTTTATAGTTACAATGTTAAAACCTGGGTTGACGAGGTATAGATAGCCCATTCTGTAACTTTGCATAGAAAACAAACGGCATATATATTAAACAGCAGTTTATTTACAATGAATTTCATGTATAGGTTTCTGAGGTGAAACAAGTAGGAAAGAAACATCGCTGAAACTCGAGAAACTTTAAAATATAATCCTTTTCGGAAGAATTTCATCAAAAATATACATTTTGTGTGAGAAATGATAAGTTATTGTATTAAAGTTTCAAATGTCGTGTTTATAATAAATTTAAACGTTGCACTGGTCTTTTAAGTTTTGTGTTTGCGTATTTTCTTCAGCTCATATTGTAAATTAATTTCATGTTATTTAATCTTAGATAAACTTATACAGAAAGTTTCAGTTTTGAAGGTTTTGTGGGAAAAAAAAACGTCTTCCGCTATTTCTATCTTCTGCAGTACGTGGTAGAAATGTTTACTTTTATAAAACTTGAATTTAGCAAGTTATGCTTTTTAGTGACGTGTAAATTCTGAGAATACCTTATGACCCTTTATGTATGCTATATTAATTAAATAAAAAATGTTTCTTTTTTTGGGGGGAGGGGTATATATGCTCTTTATTACAGTAAATGTTTTTTATAGATTTACAAGTAATTGTGGAATTTAAATAAAAACCGCTACAAGCTGCTATGCAGCCAATATTTCTGATTCTGATTTATAAATGTCTTGACCGCTAGTGCTTATGACTTCACAGTAAAAACCAATAGTTTTCTAGGATTATAATAAAAAAAGACCCCTTACAAGTATTCTTATTAAACCTTTAGTGCTATGCAGGAAACGAAGATTTGAAGGGGTGTTTTTTAAACATTTTAATTAAAAAGTAAAGATATTTACGGAGGTTTTCGGTCCTTTTTTTAACTCACCACATAGTACACTAAATTGATTTAAATGTATGAATAAAATTATGAGTCTTGAATAGGCGAAACTGTAGTCTATAGCAGAGAGTATGGCAAATTAAAGAATGTATTAGGCCAACACGTCACAGACTATATTTTTAGCTTTACTTTTGGTGAAAATAAATCTGCCATATAATCAAAACGGTAATTATTGAAGTGATTATAAAGGATACTACTTTCTGAATTACTTTATATAATCATCTACTGGCCTGAAGTTTATTGAAATGTACTCAAGATATAAAATAATCGAGTAATCATACATTGTACAAAACACTTTGTATATTATACATGTAGTGTTTAGTTTTTCTGCTGAGTTAGTTCCTTGAATACAGAAAACATTAAAAAGAATTAAGGTCACCAATCAGAAAATCGTTCTGCCACGTTTATATTACGTTCTGTTTTACACGAATCTGGTGGGCACCATTTGTTTTTCCAGTAAAAATGTCATTATATCAAACTAAGCTATGACATTACAAAATTTGTATTAATGTTTTCAGCTATGTCGAAAACAAAAATACTAAAAAAATTTTGATTCGTCAGTAAATAGTACAGTTAATATGTCGATGACTTAGTCAATCATGAGAAACCTTTTTCTACATATTACCTTAATTTTATACGGTCTCACTAATTAGTGACAAGAAACGTCAGTTCGTTTATTTTAGTAAAACGTCAGTGATATAAGGGAGTTGTTGCTGTAAAACAATCTAATTTACTGAAAATCTTCGAGATTTTTAACATGTTTAGGGATATGCAACTGTAGGAGACGAAAGTGTCAAGTACGACAGCGCAAGAGATCTGGATCTTCCCGGTCTTGGTCAGATTCACAGGCTACGAGAAGCGCACTGAAATCGTATAATATAGAATTATATAATAACAATAAGGGTTGTTTGAGTAATGGGTTGTTCACTATTTTACTTTACATTTCTTGATGATATGTAGTGGAACTAGGACCCGAGTCTATTTACTGAGCTGCACGTTCATCTTCTAAAATATTTTAAATATTTTCGATATTTTTATGTAAATTGGATCGTTTTAAATCTACTACATTCTCGTGTCATTGACTGTTTAAAAAAATAAGTGTCTTGTCGCTGATTAGTGAAACCACCTTTTGTACATTAGTTAAATTTAAGTTTTTTCGATATACTGAACATTTGTGTTAGCTCTAAAGATACGTTAATTCATGGAAATTATCCTCGTTTTTCTTTGAAAATTACTGCATATTGCATGCTTATATAATTAATGTTTCTCATATTTTTTCAATTGTGTAAGTATTGTTTGCGTGTTAAGATATGTTATGCATACCTGTATATATATATATATTTTTTTTTCTTAGTAGCTATGTTTAGCTCTTGTTTTATTATTTTGACAAACTTCCTACAGGATATTACTGTAACTGTATTAGTAAATCTGACGCGGTTTAGTATGTGATTTGTAAGTCGTCTGGGTTAGCGGTGGATTTTACTCGCCCGATTGATACTCAATTGTAAATATTACTGTTAAGGACTAATTGTACTTAATCTGTGGTTGGCCTGCTCCCTTCAGGTTCCATAAGAAAGAAAGAGGCAGCATAGTGTGTGGATCCTATTGTGATCCTCCACGATAAAAAAAAGTTCAGTTGGCTGCCAAAAAAAAAAAAATTTGAAACTGTGTTCTGCGGAACCATGGAGTTCTGTAGGATATATTTTTTGTGTAATGTAGTCGGAGTAAAGGAGTAGGTCAGATAGAGATACGGCTTAAAAAACACCTCAGCCGGTAAATCGTAATTTTACTGTTTCATTTATGGGCAGAGCCTAATTGATGACTCGCCATAAGTTAGCCGCTAGAGGTAGTGCAGTGTTTCAAGGAAACACAACAAGCTAGTCTTGATTTTGTGAATATTTCGTAACATTACAAAATTACAGTTATTTCAAGTATTGATACTACTTAGCCATGGATCGGTGGCTAAAAGAAGTAACTTTAAAGAGAAAACAAATTCTTAAAAACTGTTTAATTATAAGAAATAGAAAATAAATTTATTTGTTTATGTAGTTACCTATTGTACAACGATAATTATTTTATGATTTAACTTTTTAACATAAGAATGTTTATTAAGAGTTCCGTCAATAGTTTTAGAGCTCAAAAGTGTTCATCCCGAAAAAGTTTGGGAAAGGCTATCTGTGCTCTGCCCACCACGGGTATCGAAACTCAGATTTTAGCGTTGTAAGTCTGTAGACATACCGCTGTGCTACTAAGGGGGCTGGGAAACGCTGCTCAAGACTTAAAAATTTATAAGAAACGGTACTTGGGGTTCGGGAAATTTCAATGCTATATATTTAGCTCATTTTAAACTTGTATTGCACAATAAAAATAACTGACACATTTTATATACAAATATTTACTTAAGCCATATTATATTTTTATCAGACTTCTTGAACGCTACTTAAGATATATTATATGCGTATGAAATTGGTTTATTTTGGAAGGACGCGTTACGTACAGGTAAATAGGTTAATAATAATATGTTAGTTTTTCCTTCAGTCGATGTGTATGCGTATAATAGTATAAAATGTACATCTTGTACTCAAATTAAGAATCTCATTTGACACTTTTTTACTTGACTGTTAAAAGTATTAAATCAACAACAAAGCATAGTTATAACTAAAGCCAAACTAGTGAGACGAATGTTTTTCTAGTCGAAATCTAGTTTTCAGAATTTAAATACAGATAATTTGTTTTTGTTGTTGAAGAACATTACGAACTAACTGACTATAATTTTAATTTTTTATTTCACAAAAAAAAGCAAAATAACATTAACGTATTTTTAGAGCTGGTATTTTTTCCCGTTTGAATTATGTTCAAAGATTCAATTTTGATATTTTCTCAGAATTGATTGTACGTGAATCTCATAAAATGTTAAGTAAGAGTAACAATGTAGACTCAATCTCAGCCTTGAGGTCGGTAACGAGACCGAGATTGCTTTATCTCCGTGGTAAAACAGGATTTAGAGTTGCTATTTTCCAAGTAGAAGCCTCCAGGTAAGATACAACGTAGTTGGCCTTGCTGCCCTGGTAGATGAAGGTGAACTGGTCTCTAATTTTACATGGTGTGATTTTCCACAGTGTTTATACACGAGCAAGCAAGAAGCATTTACAAACGACAGAATATAACAATGTTTATCATTAATCAGTTCATTTGTGTTCAGTTGTAATTAAAATGCTATTAATATATGTGGATCTTGTACAGTTTATAATTAAAACTCCAGGAAATGCAGGGAAGTTTCTAGTGTGTAGGTCTGAAATTTCTAGTAATATGTCTGCTTTGTTTTTGTCACTTTTGCAGACATCTAGAGTTGAGCTGAAAAATAAACAAACTTGTATTATTACATAACCCTTCTAATATAATCCCAAACAAAAAGCCCCAACTGTATTGTTTCTACTCCACATAACCAGACAAATATTTAAGGTGGTCAAGACAAGTCAAGGAAATAAGTTTTCTTTGGAATA